TGTTTTCACATACGCTCACACCCACTGCTCTGGAGCAGAACACTTCAGCACAGACCTGACTTGGACAAACCTAACAATCTCTGAAGAGGCCTCAGACACTAACTTAGCTGCAAGAATAGGTTGGCCTTAAAATAATAAAAACAAACATACGCTCACACCCACTGCTCTGGAGCAGAACACTTCAGCACAGACCTGACTTGGACAAACCTAACAATCTCTGAACACCTCAGACACCTGCTTAGCTGCAAGAATAGGTTGGCCTTAAAATAATAAAAACAAAGCCGAAGAGAAGTGGTAGTTTGGACCCGATCCCAGGCGGGCAAGGGTGTTAAAGCTGGGTGAAAGCACCAACTGTAACAGGCACAGCTGCCAGCTGACCCTCTTCCCGCTGCAGGAATGGCTTGGAGGCAGCTACGGCACAGACAAGCCAATGGACACCAGAACCGCTGGTTCATTTATATGGCATTAGAATGAGCAGGCTTTCTCGTTCAAGATGAATTTGCTGACGGAGCTGTGTTGCAAATGGTGAGTGGATGAAGGACGGGCTCTTCTTTGTACCATGCACTCATTTGAGTGGTCCCTACTTCAGTAGTTTTATAGAGGAAAACCAAATTCCCAATTACCTGTGCTGCCAGAACTCCCTAAACACAGATTGCTGATTAACTGTGCAGGTCAGCTGAAAGGATTTACAGATGTGTAACACTGAGCCGGAAGATCTTCACAGTAATTCTGGAGCACGTTACGCTTTATAAATCAGTATTTAATACTGTGCCAGCTCAGAGTCTAGACTATTACAGTGGTAGGAACAGGCACATCAAAAAGTTATGACCAAGTTAACGTGCACGTCTAGTAGCTGCTTTTCAAGTGCTAGTAACATGTCTATGTGGCTATGAGGGGAAAAAAAACCACAACAAAAAAAAGGCAAAATAAAAGGCTTTGTCAATGTTTTGAGAGAATGGCCTGCGAGAATACTGAAATGGAGAAGATGCCAAGCTACGGTCATGTCTTTTAAGGAAGTAACACCATAGTGCTTTAATAATTAAAAAAGTTCAGAAAATACAAATGCCTCAACTGAAGCCTGCATGCCAGATTTCTGTGCTGTGAACTATTTTTTATTCTTTTTTTCAACAACCAAGTTATAAACCTCTGACAGGCTCAGAACAGCTCATTACTCAGAACAGCAAAAGCTGGCTGAAACTTTAATTGCAGACGTATGAATGGTGCTGCTCTAATAATAAAAAAATCTCCTGTCCGAAGAGGAACAGGAGTATCATGGGTGTTTTAAAAGACATTTGAATGTGTTGGTTTTCCTTAAAATAGTACCAAAGAAAACTGATCACATTTGGTTTATCCCCATTTGCTCCTCAGGAGAGCACCCCTCTTGGTGACAAACCTTACGAATGTACTGGAAGCCCAGCCAACGTGTAACACCTTGTTCAGGGCCCACTAAAATCAATATAAACGTCTGTAGTTATTTTATGGCATGGTAGATTGGGCCATAAGGCCTTTCCTACAAGAGAAAGGGCCAATTAAGGAACATAAATTCTCTCCAGAATCCAGGCCAGTAATGCCCTGGTCAGCCTGAGGAGGAGTGTAAAACTGCTGCGTGCCCAGAGCTGGTATGCAAGCCTGGCTGTGTCTGAGGAACTCCCTGAGAGGGCAGACAGGTTACACAGGTCTGAACTGTGTCTTGGTGAAGAGGTTTAGGCAGGCAAGCAGCATCCACAGCTGCATGCAGTATTTCCTGGGGTCAGGAAGGTTGTGTTTGAAACTCTCCTATCTTGCCTGCTTCTTCAGTGTCTGCTGAAGCAATTACTAGCGGGCCAGGCACTTATCAATTCTTCCGTGCAAGCAGTCTGGTGGCACTGCATGCAAACCTGAAATCTCTGCGTAAACACATTTTATTCCCTGCTCTATGGTCAGGCAGCATCTTCAGCTTGTGCAGAAGAAAAGGCACCTTTTCACAACCTTGGGCTAGAAGGGGAGACTGTTCTGTCTAAGGCTTCAGCCAGAGATTTCACGCTTAGTGGGCACGTGCTGGGGGGGACTTCGTTCTCATGTGGGAGTCTGACAGCCCACGTGGACATAAACCCACCTGCCTTCATGACTGTAGACTACACCTGATTTCTGACTGAACTGAGATAGTAAAATATATTTCCCAATTCTTCTTGAAATTATTATGATGCACAGCCTCAAAAAGTCAAGTAACATTCTTTCCTATACTTCTGGGCTTCATTCCTGTTTTTTAACATGCAAGATAGAAAAGTATTAGGCAAAAGAAATGGCTGCATGAAAATGGCATTTACTATAAGTTATTAATGCACCAGTATGACCTCTCTCTGAATATCAAACCAAGGAAGATTCAAAGGACACAGATAGCCTGGGAATAATAATTTCATTTCAAGAAAATACCTTTTCAATAAAATAAAAAAAGGACATATAACTCTCTAGGTCTATAATCTTGTCTTTTTTGATAATGGGAAGATGAATGAAGATCACTAGCAGGGGAAACATAAGGAAGCAGAGGAGAGAGATATGTCTACTGCAGCAAATTAACCTGTCAACCTTGTTTAAAAGGGTTATTTTTAAACTCTATTAGCTGCAGGTTTTTAGTAGCTGTTCAACATCTTCATATTCTTATAGCACTATCTTATACCATCCAATTGCACACACAGACTGTAAAGTGCTATGGACTCCTTGTTAGTTTTACTTTCGAACACAAGCTATTGACTCCCGAAGCACAAATATGAACAGGGAAGAATACCAACCTTTCCTGACACTGAAAAACTTCAGGAGCAACCCAGACAAGTACTGTGAAAATATCATAAAGGGGAGAAACCTTCACAGAGTCCAGGTGCAATGCCAATACAGTTAAAGTAACAATGGAAACACCCTAACTATTAAATTAATAAATTCATCTGTTTCAGAAGAGCCTGAAGTGGCTGTGGCCCTTACCCGTGAAGTCTCAAAGCACCTATGACAAAGAAATGATTTCCAGTCCTTGACCGTCGGTGCAATGAGACTGTGTCTGGGTAACACTCCGGCACCTGAGGGGCTGCGTCTGCCTGACCAGCCCAGGCACGTAGAGGTGCCAACCTCCAGCTGCGAGCTGGGCTGTGACAAGAGACTGATGGGAGCCTGCGCAGCCGCACTGGGTAAAGCACTGTAGGGACAGGAGAAATCTTCCTGTGCCCTCTTCGCTCCGTGAACATTCATATGAGGAATGGGATACACATGCCTAGCTTCTTCAGACTTAAAAAAAAATTGATCTTGATATATGTGTGTCCTCAGCCATAAATAAAAGCAATCCTGTGGCTCACAGGCACACCCATTTAGCTCTTTCCAGCTCCAACCTGATTGTTATCGCCTAGGATCTGCTGTCCTTGCCCTGTGGCACCACAGACATTCCCCTGAGACTCCACCTTTAGTTTTTTATTTCTGATATGCTGTTACTGTGAAAGAGAAGGTTAGGCTACAATGTTACGTACGGTTCCTTTACCAAGGTATTAGCCGTGGCACAGGACTGCCAACCGTGAGGGGCAAACTCTTCTCTCACAGGTTCGCACTGTGAAATTCATCTGAAAGGCAGGCGTGCCCGAAAGACTGACCTTGACTTTCTGTTGGTGATGGTATATCTGCCAGGCGATGTGAACATGCATAGCGCACCACTTCCCAGGTTTCTAGAAAAAACAAAGGGAAGCCACATGACTCGGAAACTGTCAAAAATCTGCGACGCTTTATTCTAGTTACAGCAACTCTTGCCAACTCTTAGCCAAGCCTGTTTTGACCTGGGGGATTTCTCCATGCCAAGACTGAAAGCAAAAGGTGCCCCTTCAGTGCCTTCCCCCTCCAGCCTTTTGGGAAACCAGAAGTCCCTTGCTAAGCAGTTTATTTGGATAACCAAAGGAATGCTACTAGTCACTCCTGATAAACCCATGGCTGGGTTTTACACACTCTTGCAATCTTCTGAAGCCACGGGCTGAGAATGCAGCCTGTGTGGCTGAAATCAGCACAACCGTTACCGGCCAGCCGTGCTCTGCGTAGCTGGGCTGCTTCACCACCGCACGCTGCGTTCATTTTAAAAAGCGCAGCTATTCTAGCACTAGCCTTTCCCTCAAAAGATGAAAATTAAAGCACTTTCAGCTCTGATTTTCAAAACGAATCTGTCTCCCTCATGTAACTGCTCCAAAACTTTGGCTCATAAAGGTACTGAAGAAATTGGGGGTCAGTCAGCTCAGTCAGTCTGGGAAGGCTCTTTGCATCCTCCTGTCACCACGCTCATGGGGAGGACAGAAGGAAGAAAGAACCAGAATGCTATTTGGCTTTTCTTGTTGATTTTGTTCTTCATTTCCAGGATATCTGGAAATCTTGTCTGAAAAAGCCTCGTTCAGGATATACTTTCTCCATTTTTGTTATTTAGGATGTATGGTTAACTACACAAGTAATGATTTCTGACAAATCTTGTTCCCCAAGCTACTGGTAACTCTAATGTTTCACAAACTATGGCATATGATCTGCCTTCTATTTCTAGGTGTACATCTACGAGCAATCAAAAAACCACAAAAAAATAAACGCCATCTCATGCACGTACTCCCCTAAACAGAAGCCTTTTGCTTATTCACAGCAACTGGCTGTGCTGCTGATTTAATGAGTTCACTTGGTCCAGTCAAAATCTAGATTGCGTTGAACACACTGAAAAATTAACAACAAACCCTTCCTCAAAACCAGAAGACTGGATCTTCTGACCCTTCTTTCGAAAATATTTTATGTTTGAAGTGGACTGGCTGTCTGTACTGACAGTAACCCGGGTAGGAAGTACCATACCGAGTAACCGGAAAATAGAGCAAATAATAAACCCCCAAATCTTTCAGTCTGCAGTGAAATGACAGGGGACCCCTGCCAGGGTAGGGCTCTAGGATTTGGCTCAGGAAAGCTCGTGCGACAGAAGGATTATCAGTATTTAACCTCTAGTATTCATGCTAGGGGGCTGTGTGAAAAGAACAGAACACTTTGAGCCCGTGCATCTTCCTTGAGTGACCCCAAGTCGCACGCAAAGAAGGACTGACCACGCTGCTCAGCAAACATGGTCTGAAACACCCAAGGCGAAACATGGCGCTGCTTTTAATCACTCTGCTGCTTTAACCTGGTGGGGACTGAGACGAGCTTGACAAACTGTATCACAAGAAGATTTCTTACCCTCAACATGGGCCTGAACGGATCTGTCAACTGTGAAGAAGAAATGACAGCTTGGTTACATGCCTGTCACTCAAACAATTGCTCTAATTAACAAATTTGTATTGCTTCATTAAGAGATGAAATTAAAATGTTATAATTTTACTTTCAAATGAAGCCCTTTCGGATAATAATTAGTCCTTAGCCTCCGTATTCGAGCAGGTCTCCCCTCCCCCCATGGCTGTTGTACCGAAGTGTTGACAAGCAACTAAACAAGCCTCACACAGAGCGCTCTGTCCTCTGGCATCATCATTAATTTGTTGATTTAATGCTACAAAAATGGCTGGTTAACTACTCTGGAGAAAAACACAGATCTATCCTTTGGGCAAACTTCTGTTCTCCTCTTTCCGAACTGCTCGGCTCAGGAGGAGACTGGAGAGTGGACAGGGCCCCTTTTTCACGGGTTTGATCCCACGAACGGTGTTTCAGACGCGCCCCTGCGAACCAGAGCCTGTGTCTGCTCCACTGCTACGGCGTGAGGCCCTTGACCTGTACGGGCTGACAGCCATCACTGCCTGCCTGCTTGCCTGACGTGTTCCCTGTCACACACTGCCTTTGCCCTGTTTTCCACACAGCTACAGACGTTGGTAAACAGCGGCTGCACAAAAAAACAATTTTCTCATTATTCTTCTGTGGGACCTGTTTTTTGAGGCAAATTATTTTCTTTTTCTCACGTTTTTGGTTACATTCATGAATTTATGCTGGAAAAGAAATTCAATTTATTGGGTATGTATAATTGGGTAGTTATAATTTTGAGTTTTCTTTTTTGAAATGCAGTACTAAAGGAGATATATAGGTGTGGTGCTTTGCAGACTCAGTGATGACACCATACACCACCCTGAAATAATCGAAACAACACTACAAGGTGTCCCTGCCCATGGCAGGGGAGTTGGAACTAGATGATCTTTAAGGTCCCTTCCAACCCAAACCATTCTATGATTCTGTAAGTTGCAAGGGGGCATAAAACTAAATAACTTAACGATGGGAGGCTCTAGTTTTTCAATTAGCTGGAATAAACAGAAACAAAAAAACCCATGGTTCGTTTTGGTGTACAGCTCAACTGAAGCACCAATTCAGAGCAAACCGAAGTACTGGCACTTGGCCTAACCCAAAGGAAATAGCTCAGCTGTGCTTAAAAGTTCAGCCATACCACAACAAGGGTTTTCAAAGAGAGCTCCCCATGGCTTTTGCCAGAGTTCTGCTAAAACCACGGCTGCAGGATGTTCCTCGCTGCAAACAATGCACGTTAATTCAAACACCCAAACAACCCACGGGCATTCGGAAACAGCAGAAAAAGGCTAAAAGACAGAGCGCTGCGCCAATAATGCCATTCACACACGCGAGAACTCAAAAATCCAGAGGTGCCAAGCAATCGATAGAATGCGTCCGCATTTCACTGGTGCAATCAATGATACAGTAACCAAGAGAGTAACTGTCACTACCCACATTAAAAACAATTACAGAGTATAAACATAAATCTTGAAGGGGTTTGTACATTTCTACACTGAATTGGACTTTTACGCCTTTCCCCTGGGGCTTGGGGGACGCAGGCTGACAGTGAGGAAAGCGCTCTTCCCTTGCATCCTGTCAATGTGCTAATGACGGAGAGAAGTAAGGATCGGGATTTAAACCATTCCCTGAACAGCCTCTCTAGTCTGGCCCAGGCTTAGCTTTAGTTTTAGGGCGTTAATTTGGACATATTAAAGATGGGAGCTGTAGCACTCGAGGTTTTCAAGGGGAAACAGCTTTACTTGTGGAAAACGTAACATTTCCTACAGACCCGTGGATCTTTCTGTAGAAGGGTGTGTGGGACAGTTCCAGGTCTGGCTGCAACATCAATAGGATTGGAAGTCTAGAAACAAGGAAAGACATCATTAATGAGTAAAACAATGCATCGAAGAAGCAGAAAAAGAAAATTAATACTTCTTTATCATTGACATTGCCTAAGCGATGAAGATACACTTTTTAAAGAGGAAAGGATAGCCGCCATATTCCACTTATTAATGTATGCACTACCATCTCGATTTTCAAACCTTCAACATCCCATTACCTGAAGCAATCCAAAACATGGAAGGGAACAGTGACTGCATCACTGGAAAACCTTTCCACTAATGAAAACCTGATTAGCAACATTCTTATGCTATGGCACCTACAGCAGTATGTGGAGGACCAAGCTTGTGCCCTGCTGCTTATCAGTAATGCAGTGGAACTGGGTAAAACTGCTAACCTGACTGTCAGCACACACGTCAGTGATCTCTTTAGTCTCTGTACAAGGATCTGAACCCCATCCACAAGGAACTGTTACCATACACATATCTGGAAAAGGCAAAATCCAGTAGAAATAAACCCAAGCTTTTCCCATGATGTGAACGTAAATACACAGCCAACATAAAATGCATCTCTGTGGGGAAAATCCCCCACCCTACTGCAAGAAGACAGAGCATCTTCCTATGTTCAAATGAACGAAAAAAAGCAATCAGCTACAGTACAACTAACAATTAAGTAACAGAGTTGTTAACAGTCTGATTACCATACATATGAAGAATTCCACTAATGAACTGCAATTTACATATTCAGTCAGTACAGTGGATGGGCCAATTTAAGAAAGAAGGTGTCTTCTCTGCAGAGATTTCAGTCCTCATTTTAGTCTTTAGTTGCGAAGACTACAGACTACAGAATATGGTTTCCTCCCACTTGCAAATCAAGAGTGACTTCATGAAAACAAACGAAATAAACCCCAAACTCATCACGTTTATCTATCCCAGCTACCACAGACGAGAGGAGAACTAAATCCGTATTGCGCTGCAGCAGAGCTGTGAGAGTTATGGAAATGAGTAAACAATAATGATCACGGTTTCCTAAAATCTTGATTATTACTTGGCCTTACATTAACGCGTACTATCTGAGAGCTAATTATATTGCTTCTAAATTTAACTATGGCTTTATAGTCTTTTTTAGAAATGTACGGAGATATATTTGAACCTCATGAGAAATAACTTCTGTGTGTAGTGCATTTGGAAAAAGCCAATTGTCCTCCATGGAATTAGGCGTAACTCAGATGTCAACTGCTCCAAATCTGGTTCTAAACCTACACCTCACCTGGCTCACCAGACCAGTGTATTTGCAGGAACAGATACACAAATAGTTCTTGTCTTACCTTGGGCTGAAATGCTCCTTGTAGAGAGCCAAAGGGGCCAGTTGGAGGAATCATGGGAGGAATACCTGATACAGCTGGAGGATAGGAGTGAAACAGCTGTAACAAAAAGACAGAAAAACATGAACACAAGAGCGGGTCAGAGTAAAGACAGGAAGGTGAACACGACAAGCATTCCTGCGTTGTATTAGGGAAATGGAACATGGAGGAAACCGAGAAGCGTTGAAGTGATCTCATTGCAACAATGTTAGTTAAAGCAATCCATGGAAATGTTCACAAATGTCATGATGTTTAGAGCTTAAAAGCAGTTCCAAAATCACAAAGCCAGCAACCTGTCCCCTGGATTAGGCCACAGAGTAAGAGAGACACTTTTTAATTATAAATTTTTAAATTGGATAGAGGTTTTAAATGGTTTCAGCTTGCAAGTCATGAGAAAAGTCAGAATACCGAGTGAAATAAGACTCAGAAATCTACTGTTTAAGCAGAAAAAACCCTTACGAGTTCGAGGATATTGTATCATTAAAACTCCATTAGTACGTTGGGATTTTAATAGTATCTGTAGGAAATGAGGAAAATACGCACAATTCTGACTTCATTAGCCTGTCTGAGAGGATATCCTGCCACATCTAATATTAGCAGAGAGACAATTTGATTTCTTAAATATTATTATTCAAACAAAACGTTGAGTCAGACCCCTCTAAAAATTCAGGGTACTGTTTTTGTAAAGACAGGCTACTAAGCATAAAAAAGGGCACTTCTCCACTGACCTCACTGATTCCACTGTACCTCTTCCAAGAAAATCTATAAAAACTAAAAAAAGGGGGGGAAAAGCGCTGTTCTGTTCCGCTGCAGACAAACACACGGGAAACAAGCAAGTAAACCATAACCTCCAAATCTCATCTTGTCTCTGTGGTCTGGTGGTGAATCTTTTACTCATGCTGTAACAGTCAACTTGCCCAGTTCCACAGAAAATGCTGAGATTACACACAAAATTGCCTTCTGGCCGGAGTCAGGGGTTCCAAGCATCACACCACAAACAGGGTATCACTGTGAAACCTCGGGATCTATCGGGGACGGCTGCTAATTCTGCTGGTACTGCCACCCACAAACCTAAAGGGGTTATCTGGCTGCCCGCGATTCCCCTCCGAACACAGCTGATCAAAAATCCATCCACTGTCTGCTACTTTTAAGATCAAAATAAATGAGTTAATGGCCAATTGAACAGAAGCAGGACTGGGCAAAGTAAAAGACTGGACGTACGGAGTGGGCAAACACTGACAAAATCACATCCCATGGTAAATCGGTGTTGCAAAGTTTTGATGAATCTGGTCATGCCAGGGATATATATGTGCTTTTCTTAAGCGTTTTTCCTTCCACTTCCTTGTCTTGCAAGGCCATTTGTTGATATTATACTTACTGAAGGCTGAGAAAATACTTCAATACTTTGGAGGTATCAAAAGATTTTCTCGGTTTAAAAGCATGGTATCAAGTCTCCTTTCATAACATGCTTCTATTGTTGTTTTTAATTCTATTTAATTTGGACCTGCTCCATTCAATGATGCAGAAAGCATTTTTACATTAGTTGATACTGAACTGTAGGCATTTGAGAAATCATTAAGAGACATATGTCCTCATTTACAATAACTTTTAATGACTAGAATGCGTTTTAAAACCTCCGGTGTCTTCTGCATTTAATTCTGTGTGTAATGGATTAATTCCAAACGATGGAAAGAGACGTAATTCTTTATATTCTATTGGCTATGTAGGGAATGTCTTCCTTAGAATTTTATAACAACTGGTAAGTTAATTAAATGTGACCTTTCCTCAAGGTCAGAATTATTAATAAAATACAAATATCCTATCTCCAGGATCTCTTTGTGTCAGTTAAATCCCTACAGCTGTCAAAATACATCTTTCATAGTCAATGGTTCCTTCTTTTTTCTCTCTTTTCAGCAACGTTTTCCCCTTCTAGCTTTCTTCAGGGAACACTGCGGAACCCTCAGCTTTCCTGGGTGCAGTGTAACGCTAAACTAGACCCAGCGGTAACTGTAGGTACAAGTAGCGTCTCCCTCTGCTACAGCGAGGCCCTCCCAAGAAAGAAATGATTGCAGAATCAGAGCTGCCAAGAAAGAAAACTTTAAAATCTCTACCCGAGCTCCGATGTGAGCTGTGCTCCCTATTCTAAAGCAGACTGATTTTAGCTCTCAAACAGGCCTTGTTCTCCCGCAAAGTTCACTTACAAGCTTTGAAAACACTTCCAGCCTTTTTTAAGACACCTGAATTCTTGGTGCAGTGACAAGTGGAAACTCCTGTCACTAGGAAAAGGCCTATGGAAGCGCCACAGTTTCCCAGTATTTCTACAATAGGAAAAGCCCTGTCAGGTATGCACTAATGCCAGCAAAAGTACATCTTTCGGTACTGCAACTGCGGAGGAAAGCGATGCACCAGCTCCTCTGTCCCCTACATAACCTGCAGTCACAGCAGACGCGACTCCTGAAGCACCATGGCCAGCGTGGCCTGGAGGTAGGTTAAGACAGACTGTTAATCCAATGTATTTCACAGTCATCACGTTGATCCTCTGCTATCAGCTTGCTAAATACCCAACAGATGCAATCGTGATCATTTTGCAACCCCTTCACACGGAGAAACCTTTCCTGAAGGGAAGGCAGGGGAGGTGGAATGGACGGGAGCCCAGCCAAGCTCAGTAGCGCAGCCGGCTGGCTCACAGACCAGCGCGAAGCCTGCCCTTGCTGTGAAGGGGTGATATCGTGACCTTTACAGCTCAGGTGACTGCCAGGGCTGTAAGAGGTTATGTCTCTGCACTTGAATAGCGTGTGCCGTTGGAGACTTTTGCAATGTTTCCTGTGTTACACGTCGACTTCTGTGCTTTATTGTCTGAAATTCATTTACCTATTTCCCAGTTCCGTGTTCCTGCCTGAGTCAACATGCCACATGGATGATAATGTATCTTTTGAATCCACGTAAAGCTCAGCAAATAAGAGTGCAATTTTGCAAACAATGATGCAAACGAGCAGCGTTAAAGAGAGTAAAAGTGATTATCGTAGGCTTAAATGTTTGCCTAATACGCCTAGAGCTCTGACCCTGCCAACACTCCCATGCAGGTGAAGTTACCCAAACGAGGTGTCAGAAATCAGCAGGACTATCCACATGTGCCACAGGCACCAGCTGTCAGCAGGAGCGGTGTTTGATCGGTACAGCAGAAAGCATCACACCATCACCGTTACCAGTTTTTTTTGCCCAGTTCCACTTCTAAGCAAAACCAACACATAAAGCCAAGTGCTTTGCAAATTTCTGAGTGCTGATGCAGTACTCCTTCTCTCATCAAAACATCACTACTGGATTCAGAAATCCTTCTCACATCCAACCAGATACCTGCCTCTGCCAATACGATGAAGGAAATGCAACCCGTATTTCAGCAGCAAATGAATCAGTAGATTCAAACCCTTAAGAGCAGAAGCTTTACAATTAACTGGAATATTAAATATCAGTTCATCTCAATAAATCACGTTTTGGTAGCTTGTAGATAAACATGTCTAGTGCATAGCTGGATTCATGTTGCTGTCATCAAACAGAGCTTTCAAAACATAACAAGCCCAGTGGATCAGATGTGCCTTTGAAATCTGAAGAATAAGACAAGTTTTCAGATTTTATAAACCAAAATATGATGTATTAGGAAAACTATTAGATTACCTATCCCTGAAGGATTTGTATGATGGTTTGTCATTTCATTTCAAGTTTCTTAGGAAAAATATCAGTCTAAGGGTTTGTGGCACAACTGAAACAGTGATGAAATTACTGCTCTCTCCGGCTTCATGTAACAGTCAGCTCTTCTGTCTCATCTCTGCACATCAAACCTGTCTTCAAATGGTGTACGAGCAAGAGATCTTTTGATTGGAAAAGCTGATACTGCATCTTGATCAGAAACAAGCACCACGAATGCAAGCCTTCAAAAGCCAAAGCAACCGAGAACGATAATGGTAAATCCTGGAGTGATGATTAGGGAGAGATTGGACACAGTGCCGTTGACTGAGTGGTGATCCCAACCCACCACAGAAAAGCAGTTAAGTCAGTTTTAAACAGAGTAATAAAACTCACACTGTGACGGTAGAAGGGGTCAACTTTTGTAGGGTATTTGTCAAACTGCAAAGGGATCAAAGCACAAACTAGTTACTTTATATTTCCTTGCTTTACTTCTGTTGGTAAAATAGAAGACTACTTCTCTATTCTATGGCAACCAACAGAGAAGAAAATATATGCAGAAAATTAGTTTCTGATGAAACTGTTCGGGATTTTTCTGTCTTCAAGGTAAACCAAGGTCTTTACGAGACGGAGGAGGCACCGGAGTGCACCACTCCAAGCACTGGGAAGGCCCAAGCACGGGTGCTCCTCAGTCAGCAGCCTCGTCCCTCAGCCCCTGCGCTGCCACCGGAACCTATCGCACACGACAATCACGATGAAGAGACGGTCCTTCCTCCCCTACCCAGCCGCGCCTGGGCAGCAGAGTACTCCTGCCCCGCAACCTGGCAAATTCGTACAAGTTTGTAATAAAGAATAGAGTTGTGCTCTACTTATCCTCACATTTCTGCCTGGGGTACGCACCATGGGCGGTGCTGGCGTTGGCATGATGGCAGTGGGTGGGATGGCGTGGGGGAAAGGCGTGAAGGTGTGCTGGTGTGTGTGTTGGTGTGTGTGCTGGTGCTGGTGCTGATGCTGGTGGAACTCGGTCCTCAGGTACGGCGGCGGGCCCAGGGAGGCCCCGCGATCTGCGCTCTGCGAGGCCAAAAATCGTGTGTTTAGTTCCTGACGGAGAAGATCTTGTTCTGAAATACAAACAGCAAAACAACCACCCGTGAGCTCAGGGACTTTTCCAGACCTTGTGCCACTTACTTTTTTGCTGGCTGTGGCAGCAACGCTGTATTTAAAGCTTCCTGGTGGTAAATCATGACACCGTACAGGGTAAGAAAGCTCCCTCAGAGACAGAAGAAAGTCTCCATTTCCCTTCTCTCACCCAGCCCGTCTTTCCCCAAGTGTTAACCTGAGGGTTCTCCACAAATTTTTATGGATATGGACATTGCTGTAAATAGGTGAGGAGGTACGGGTAACCTGGAGTGAGTAAACACTGAGTGGCTGCTGCTAACATGGGTACTCTGCTGCGCAGACACAAAATGATGTTACTCAAATGCTGATAATCCTCCGTTTTCTTCCCTCAGTTCCCTCTCAGTGACCTGGGAGGAACAGACACACTCCATCTCCCCACAGGTGAACTATAAAGAGCACAATTTTCTCTGCTGATAAAACCTCTACGTCTCTCACCCCGCTCCCCTCACGTACAGGAGCTCAGGACCCACTGCAGACCCTCCCTCTAGGCAGGGAAGCAACGCCGAGCACAGACCACAACGGCAGCAAAGACGTTCGCCAAGGGGGTCACGGGTTCTGTGTGGGCACGTTCTGAACTCTGGTGTGTTTTTACCACGGGCAGATGGAAAAAGCACACCCTTCCAAAACTCTTCATTCCCAGGGCTGAAGAAAAGTCACTGGGCATGTTCAGGTGGTTTTGCCTTTGGTACCACTCCAAATGGTTCAGCAACGAGCAGAGCCTCTGCCCAACCAACAGCCCTCGTCGAACGGACCAAAAAGAATTATTCGGACTACAACTGGAGAATCGGCTTCTTGCGCTGCGCTAGGCACGCTGGGGCCGTGATCCGCCTCTTACCTGAGTAAGTGCTACCAGCTGGGTGTCCCGGAACCTGCAGCGTCCCTGACGTCAATGGCGGTGGAGGAGGCAAAGCCGTAGGAGGGGCAAACATATTGGGGTGATGTGGGTGTGCGGGGGGCTGGAGGGCGGGCGTGAAGGTATGCAGCGGGCTGTGGCTGGGTAAAGAGAGGGGGAACGGTGAGGCTGAGGGATGGTGAGCTATGTGCGGAGGAGGGGCCTGAGTCTTGGCAGGAGTGCTGCTTCTGCTGCTGCTGTTAATGAAAAGAAAAGCAATTAAGCGTTGCATGGAAGAGAGGAAAGCTCCAAACGTACACACAGACAACCCCTCCGAGCTACGCATGGCTCACGTTAAACACATCACTGATGTAAGTTACATATCCCAAACGCAAGTTACTATTCTGTTTTCCTAGCAAGACCAATGTGCTACTCCTTTCTCCAACCACCCGCCGCTCCTTTTCCAGTGTCTTTTACTTCCTGTGGCCTCTGCACACCAAAACCCGAGCCACATTCTCCGTCTCTCCGAGAGGCTGATATTCTGTCCAACAACACAGGAATGACACACAAAGGAATAATCAGCCCTGAACATTCATTACTTAATTATCAGGTCCTTTCTACATGGCTGCTTCTGACTCATGTTTCCAGGCAAACAAAGCTCAAAATCAGTGATCGCTGCATTAATAAAAGCTTAATTTTTTTTTTGCTATGACTTAGTAAGATTAAGACTGCAGAAAATGTGAAACGAAGTTCAGAAGGCAACGGATAGCTGCTTATTGTGCATTCAGTGCCTGCCTCTACCCCTACAATATAAAGAGATAAGACAAGTCGGTAAAACAAATATTTGTGATTACACCCTTTGCAATTTTTCAGGTTTCTTTTCCTATTAATGAGTATTTAAAACACATTCATGTGGTGCTTAATTCTTGTCAGCATTTCAAGTGGCAGCATGCTTCTATTGCACTTGCTTTTAAAGACAAGCAATACCAATCTGGTTAAAAATAAATCCAAGCCTTCAGTCAGACCCCGAAGCAATCATAATGCTGGTTCATCAGGTCTCGAAGGACACCATCTGCCTGCTGGCAGCTCAGATTTGGGGAAATATGACTCAGTTCTGAGAGCATTAGCAAAGAGCAGGGGAAACCTGAGGTCCTTGACTCACAGAGACATCACAGGTTCCTGTGAACAAGTTTAATCCCTGTTCATCTTTGTTATCCTCTATAAAAGGTGAGGTTTATCTCACTGTGGCCAAGTGAGGAGAAAAACACTGAAGACTGCAATGTGTCAGCTGTGCAGGAAAATACTCAGCTTTAAAGTCACTGGTGCAAGACCGTTAGTGCCAGGCTGTCAGCAGAGCCAGCAGCAGCTGCACCACACGTCTTGCCCTAGGGTACGTCGGTAGTTGGAGAGAGCACCAGGCATTTACAGGGACGGGAGGGTAAAAGAGGTTAGCTTTCAGAGAGCAGCCCAACCTGCAAGGATTGGGATTGTCTTCCCCTGGTCTGTATTGCATAAATCCCTTCCAAAAAGAACTTGAGAATACCTAGCATTACAGTGATCCTGGCTCATTGCAGGGGAGGAATTAAGGTTAAACACACACAGTTCCCTCTATCTCCCAGTGATGGGACGGGACCTGCTGTTACTTCTCCCCATCAGCTAATTCATCTCCACCCCCTCCAGGCACCGTGAAGCGTCTCCACCGGGCAGCGGGGCTGCGGGGGTCCAGCGTGCACGCGGTTCCGTTCGCCTACCTTAGGCTGTTGAGGCTTAAACTGCTGCTGTTGTAGGCAGAGAGCGGCTGCGAGAGGCTCTGGGAGGCCGGATGGGGCTGCACAGGAGGGAGGTTGGGATGGGCCGGCGGCACCGGCGACTGCGGCCGGGGTGG